TTTAGTCCTGGTTTAGTCCTGTTTAAGTCCTGGTCCTGGTTTAGTCCTGGTTTAGTTTTAGTCCTGGTTTAGTCCTGGTTTAGTCCTGGTTTAGTCCTGGTTTAGTCCTGGTTTAGTCCTGGTTTAGTCCTGGTTTAGACCTGGTTTAGTCCTGGTTTAGACTGGTTTAGACCTGGTTTAGTCCTGGTTTAGTCCTGTTTAGTCCTGGTTTAGGTTTATCCTGGTTTCCTGGTTTAGTCCTGGTTTAGTCCTGGTTTAGTCCTGGTTTAGTCCTGGTTTAGATCCTGGTTTAGTCCTGGTTTAGTCCTGGTTTAGTCTGGTTTTAGTCCTGTTAGTCCTGGTTTAGTCCTGGTTTAGTCCTGTTTAGTCCTGTTTAGTCCTGTTTAGTCCTGGTTTAGTCCTGGTTTAGTCCTGGTTTAGTCCTGGTTTAGTCCTTTAGTCCTGGTTTTAGTCCTGGTTTAGTCCTGGTTTAGTGGTTTAGTCCTGTTTAGTTGGTTTAGTCCTGGTTTTAGTCCTGGTTTAAGTCCTGTTTTAAGTCCTGGTTTAGTCCTTGTTTAGTCCTGGTTTAGTCTGGTTTGTTTAAGTCCTGGTTTAGTCCTGGTTTAGTCCTGGTTTAGTCCTGGTTTAGTCCTGGTTTAGGTTTAGTCCTGGTTTAGTCCTGGTTTAGTCCTGGTTTTAAGTCCTGTTTAGTCCTAGTGGTTTAGTCCTTGTTTTAGTCCTGGTTTAGTCCTGGGTTTAAGTCCTTGTTTAGTCCTGGTTTAGTCCTGGTTTAGTCCTGGTTTAGTCCTGGTTTAGTCCTGTTTAGTCCTGTTTAGTCCTGGTTGTTTAGTCCTGTTTTTAGTCCTGGTTTAGTCCTGTCCTGGTTTAGTCCTGGTTTAGTCCTGGTTTTAGTCCTGGTTTAGTCCTGGTGGTTTAGTCCTTGTTTAGTCCTTTAGTCCTGTTTTAAGTCCTGGTTTAGTCCTTGTTTAGTCCTGGTTTTAGTCCTGGTTTTAGTCCTGGTTTTAGTCCTTGTTTAGTCCTGGTTTAGTCCTTGGTTTAGTCCTGGTTTAGTCCTTTTTAGTCCTGTTTTAAGTCCTGGTTTAGTCCTGGTTTAAGTCCTGGTCCTGGTTTAGTCCTGGTTTAGTCCTGGTTTAGTCCTGGTTTAGTCCTTGTTTAGTCCTGGTTTTTAGTCCTGGTTTGTTTAGTCCTGGTTTAGTCTGGTTTAGTCCTGTTTAAGTCCTGGTTTAGTCTAGTTTAGTCCTGTTTTAGTCCTGGTTTAGTCCTGGTTTAGTCCTGGTTTAGTCCTGTTTAGTCCTGGTTTAGTCCTGGTTAGTCCTGTTTAGTCCTGTCCTGTTTAGTCCTGTCCTTTTAGTCCTGGTTTAGTCCTGGTTAGTCCTGGTTTAGTCCTGGTTTAGTCCTTGTTTAGTCCTGGTTTTAGTCCTGTTTTAGTCCTGGTTTAGTCCTGGTTTAGTCCTGGTTTAGTCCTGGTTTAGTCCTGGTTTAGTAGTCCTGGTTTTAGTCCGGTTTAGTCCTGTTTTAGTCCTGGTTTAGTCCTGTTTTAGTCCTGGTTTAGTCCTGGTTTAGTCCTGGTTTAGTCCTGGTTTAGTCCTGGTTTAGTCCTGGTTTAGTCCTGGTTTAGTCCTGTTTTAGTCCTGGTTTAGTCCTGGTTTAGTCCTGGTTTAGTCCTGGTTTAGTCCTGGTTTTAGTCCTGGTTTTAGTCCTGTTTAGTTTTAGTCCTGGTTTTAGTCCTGGTTTAGTCCTGTTTTAGTCCTGTTTAGTCCTGGTTTAGTCCTTAGTTTTAGTCCAGTCCTGGTTTAGTCCTGTTTTAGTCCTGTTTAGTCCTGGTTTAGGTCCTTGTTTAGTCCTTGTTTAGTCCTAGTTTCCTGGTTTTAGTCCTGGTTTAGTCCTGGTTTAGTCCTGGTTTAGTCCTGGTTTAGTCCTGGTTTAGTCCTGGTTTAGTCCTGGTTTAGTCCTGGTTTAGTCCTGGTTTAGTCCTGGTTTAGTCCTGGTTTAGTCCTGGTTTAGTCCTGTTTAGTTTTAGTTAGTCCTGTTTAGTCCTGTTTAGTCCTGGTTTAGTCCTGGTTTAGTCCTGGTGGTTTAGTCCTGGTTTAGTCCCTGGTTTAGTCCTGTTTTAGTCCTGTTTTAGTCCTGGTTTAGTCCTGTTTAGTCCTGGTTTAGTCCTGGTTTAGTCCTGGTTTAGTCCTGGTTTAGTCCTGGTTTAGTCCTGTTTTAGTCCTGTTTTAGTTTAGTCCTGGTTTTAGTCCTGGTTTAGTCCTGGTTTCCGTTTAGTCCTGGTTTTTAGTCCTGGTTTAGTCCTGGTTTAGTCCTGGTTTTAGTCCTTTAGTCCTGGTTTAGTCCTGGTTTAGTCCTGGTTTAGTCCTGGTTTAGTCCTGGTTTAGTCCTGTTTAGTCCTGGTTTAGTCCTCCTTTAGTCCTGGTTTAAGTCCTGGTTTAGTCCTGGTTAGTCCTGGTTTAGTCCTGGTTTAGTCCTGGTTTAAGTCCTGGTTTCAGTCCTGGTTTAGTCCTGGTTTAGTCCTGGTTTAGTCCTGGTTTAGTCCTGGTTTAGTCCTGGTTTAGTCCTGGTTTAGTCCTGTTTTTAGTCCTGTTTTAGTCCTTGTTTAGTCCTGTTTTTAGTCCTGGTTTAGTCCTGGTTTAGTCCTGTTTTTAGTCCTGGTTTAGTCCTGGTTTAGTCCTGGTTTAGTCCTGGTTTTAGTCCTGTTTAGTCCTCCTGGTTTAGTCCTGGTTTAGTCCTGGTTTAGTCCTGTTTTAGTCCTGGTTTAGTCCTGTTTAGTCCTGGTTTAGTCCTGGTTTAGTCCTGGTTTAGTTTAGTCCTGGTTTAGTCCTGTTTAGTCCTGGTTTAGTCCTGGTTCAGTCCTGGTTTAGTCCTGGTTTAGTCCTGGTTTAGTCCTCCTGGTTTAGTCCTGGTTTAGTCCTGGTTTAGTCCTGGTTTTTCCAGTCCTGGTTTTCAGTCCTGGTTTAGTCCTGGTTTAGTCCTGGTTTAGTCCTGTTAGTCCTGGTTTAGTCCTGGTTCAGTCCTGGTTTTAGTCCTGGTTTAGTCCTGGTTTAGTCCTGGTTTAGTCCTGTTCAGTCCTGGTTTAGTCCTGGTTTAGTCCTGGTTTAGTCCTGTTTAGTCCTGGTTTAGTCCTGGTTTAGTCCTGTTTAGTCCTTGGTTTTCAGTCCTGGTTTAGTCCTGGTTTAGTCCTGGTTTAGTCCTGGTTTTAGTCCTGGTTTAGTCCTGGTTTAGTCCTGGTTTAGTCCTGGTTTAGTCCTTGTTTAGTCCTGTTTAGTCCTGTTTTAGTCCTGTTGTTTAGTCCTGGTTCAGTCCTGTTCAGTCCTGGTTTAGTCCTGTTTTAGTCCTGGTTTAGTCCTGGTTTAGTCCTTGTTCAGTCCTGGTTTAGTCCTGTTTTAGTCCTGTTTTAGTCCTGGTTTAGTCCTGGTTTAGTCCTGGTTCAGTCCTGGTTTAGTCCTGGTTTAGTCCTGGTTTAGTCCTGGTTTAGTCCTGGTTTAGTCCTGGTTAGTCCTGGTTTCCAGTCCTGGTTTAGTCCTGGTTTAGTCCTGGTTTAGTCCTGGTTTAGTCCTGGTTTAGTCCCTTTTAGTCCTGTTTAGTCCTGGTTTAGTCCTGGTTAGTCCTGGTTTAGTCCTGGTTTTGGTTCAGTCCTGGTTAGTCCTGGTTTAGTCCTGGTTTAGTCCTGGTTTAGTCCTGGTTCCGTTCAGTCCTGGTTTAGTCCTTGTTTAGTCCTGGTTTAGTCCTGGTTTAGTCCTGGTTTAGTCCTGTTTTAGTCCTTGTTTAGTCCTGTTTTAGTCCTGGTTTAGTCCTTGTTTAGTCCTGGTTTAGTCCTGGTTTAGTCCTGGTTTAGTCCTGGTTTTAGTCCTGTTTTTAGTCCTGTTTAGTCCTTGTCAGTCCTGGTTTAGTCCTGTTTTAGTCCTGTTTAGTCCTGGTTTAGTCCTGGTTTAGTCCTGTTTAGTCCTGTTTAGTCCTGGTTTAGTCCTGGTTTAGTCCTGGTTTAGTCCTGGTTTAGTCCTTGTTTAGTCCTGGTTCAGTCCTGGTTTAGTCCTGGTTTAGTCCTGGTCCTGGTTAGTCCTGGTTAGTCCTGGTTTAGTCCTGGTTTAGTCCTGGTTTAGTCCTGGTTCAGTCCTGGTTTAGTCCTGTTAGTTTAGTCCTGGTTTAGTCCTGTTAGTCTGGTTTAGTCCTGGTTTAGTCCTGGTTTAGTCCTGGTTTAGTCCTGGTTTAGTCCTGGTTAGTCCGTTCCTGGTTTAGTCCTGGTTTAGTCCTGGTTTAGTCCTGGTTTAGTCCTGTTTAGTCCTGGTTTCAGTCCTGGTTTAGTCCTGGTTTAGTCCTGGTTTAGTCCTGGTTTTCCTGGTTTAGTCCTGTTTAGTCCTGGTTTAGTCCTGGTTTAGTCCTGGTTTAGTCCTGTTTTAGTCCTTGTTTAGTCTGTTTAGTCCTGTTTAGTCCTGGTTTAGTCCTGGTTTAGTCCTGTTTAGTCCTGGTTCAGTCCTGGTTTAGTCCTGTTTTAGTCCTGGTTTAGTCCTGTTTAGTCCTGGTTTTAGTCCTGGTTTAGTCCTGGTTTAGTCCTGGTTTAGTCCTGGTTTAGTCCTGGTTCAGTCCTGGTTCAGTCCTGTTTAGTCCTGGTTGTTTTAGTCCTGTTTTTAGTCCTGGTTTAGTCCTGGTTTAGTCCTGGTTTAGTCCTGGTTTTAGTCCTGGTTTTAGTCCTGGTTTAGTCCTAGTCCTGTTTAGTCCTGGTTTAGTCCTTGTTTAGTCCTGTTTTAGTCCTGGTTTTAGTCCTGGTTTAGTCCTGGTTTAGTCCTGGTTTAGTCCTGGTTTAGTCCTGTTTTAGTCCTAGTTTAGTCCTGGTTAGTCCTGGTTTAGTCCTGGTTTAGTCCTGGTTTAGTCCTGGTTTAGTCCTGGTTTAGTTCCTGGTTTAGTCCTGGTTTAGTCCTGTTTTAGTCCTGGTTTAGTCTTTGTTTAGTCCTGGTTTAGTCTCATATTCATCGTGTCTGTATCTTGTGTTTCGTGTTCTTCAGGCGATCATCAACAGCACCATCACTCCCAACATGAGCTTCACAAAAACGTCTCAGAAGTTCGGTCAATGGGCCGACAGTCGAGCCAACACCGTGTACGGCCTGGGCTTCTCCACCGAGCAGCAGCTGCAGCAGGTCCACACCTCAAACCCTCTCAAACCCTCTCAAACCAAACACATTTACAGATGTTTAAGAAGAACCAGGTCACCTGCTGCATAAATATGTACTTATATATCCCAAATAATAGCCTGGGAGTTTCTTTGGTTCAATCACTTACCAGACCAGGCTTTTATTTGAGACCTAGAATTAGACTTAGACCAGTGCTTCTCAATTATTTTCTGTCATGCCCCCCGTTTGTCTCTTTATCTCCGTCTCTCTCCGTCTGTCTTCTCATCCCTGTTAAATATTTTTTCATGGTGTCACTTGAGGGTCAAAACAAAACTCCTACACCACCGAGCGAATGCTCCCTGCGCCATGTCCCTGCGCACACTCTGCCAATGACAGCGCCACTGCCCCTAATGTAGTGGAAGTGCAATTGCACTTTATTCTAGGACAGTAAAAAAAAAAAATAATAAAAAAATAAAAAGGCATGTTCCCCGAGGTCAAACGCGCCCCCCTTGGACGCGCCCCACTATTTGAGAAGCACTGACTTAGACAAACTTTATTGATCCACAAGGGAAATTATTTGGACACAGGAGCGTCAAACGTCACAATAAAATATAATAACAAAGAATAAAAAATATAAATGGTAAAATAAATCCTAAATAAGGAGCAAAAAAAGATCAAGAGACACGTGTCAAATAAAATAAAATAGAAAGAAAAGTAATAAAATATAAAATCTTACCCCATAGGAAGACAATGATATGATGATTGACAGGTTGTAGGGAGTATTATCTGTTACATGAGGTTGAGTTGTTGTACAGTTGTAGGGAGTATTATCTGTTCCATAAGGTTGAGTTGTTGTACAGTTGTAGGGAGTATTATCTGTTACATATGGGTGAGTTGTCGTACAGTTGTAGGGAGTATTATCTAATACATGAGGGTGAGTTGTTGTACAGTTGTAGGGAGTATTATCTGTTACATGAGGGTGAGTTGTTGTACAGTTGTAGGGAGTATTATCTGTTACATGAGCATGAGTTTTACAGTTGTAGGGAGTATTATCTGTTTCATAATGGCGAGTTGTCGTACAGTTGTAGGGAGTATTATCTGTTACATAAGTATGAGTTTTATGGTTGTAGGGAGTATTATCTATTACATAAGGGTGAGTCGTCGTACTTTTGTAGGGAGTATTATCTAATACATGAGGGTGAGTTGTTGTACTTTTGTAGGGAGTATTATCTTCTACATAAGGGCGAGTTGTTGTACAGTTGTAGGGAGTATTATCTGTTACATCAGGGCAGGTTGTTGTACAGTTGTAGGGAGTATTATCTGTTACATCAGGGCAGGTTGTTGTACAGTTGTAGGGAGTATTATCTGTTACATCAGGGCAGGTTGTCGTACAGTTGTAGGGAGTATTATCTGTTACATCAGGGCAGGTTGTTGTACAGTTGTAGGGAGTATTATCTGTTACATCAGGGCAGGTTGTTGTACAGTTGTAGGGAGTATTATCTGTTACATCAGGGCAGGTTGTTGTACAGTTGTAGGGAGTATTATCTGTTACATCAGGGCAGGTTGTCGTACAGTTGTAGGGAGTATTATCTGTTACATCAGGGCAGGTTGTCGTACAGTTGTAGGGAGTATTATCTGTTACATCAGGGCAGGTTGTCGTACAGTTGTAGGGAGTATTATCTGTTACATCAGGGCAGGTTGTTGTACAGTTGTAGGGAGTATTATCTGTTACATCAGGGCAGGTTGTGGTACAGTTGTAGGGAGTATTATAGTGTGAATGTGGTCCTGTATGTGTCGGGGTTTGAGCAGGTCTGTAGGAGCCTGTTGGAGAATGAGCCTCTGTATCTTGTCTTTATATCTGGAGTTCGTCTGTATGTTTTTAATAAGTTTGAAGAAGATCAAATTGAAAATCGAGATCGAACGATAGTTGAAAAAAAAAAAAAAAAAAAAATTTAGTTTTTTTTTTCCCCCGTTTGCCGCTCTGCTCTGGGTTTGTCGTGTTCATTCTTTGTTCCCGTTTGTTTGTGTCAGTTTGCAGAACAGTTCCGAGAGCTGAAAGAAGCGGCTCGTTTGGCTCGAGAAAAATCCCAGGAGAGATACGAGCTGTCCAACCCTGCGCTCAACCTCGCCGCCCCGCAGGTCAGACCTGTAACTGCACCACGAAAACACACAAACAAATACACACACAAATACATACAAATACACACAAACACACACAAACACACACACACACAAACACAGACACAAATACACACAAATACACACACAAATACACACACAAAACACACACACAAACACAGACACAAATACACACACAAATACACACACAAACACACACACACAAACACACACAAATACACACAAATACACACACAAACACAGACACAAATACACACAAATACACACACAAATACACACAAATACATACAAATACACACAAACACACACAAACACACACACAAACACACACACAAACACAGACACACAAATACACACAAATACACACACACACACATACACACACAAATACATACAAATACACACACACACACACAAACACACACACACAAACACAGACACAAATACACACAAACACACACAAACACAGACACAAATACACACAAACACACACAAACACACACACAAATACATACAAATACACACAACACACACACAAACACACACACAAAAACACACAAATACACACAAACACACACAAACACACACACAAATACACACAAACACACACACAAACACACACAAACACACACAAACACACACACAAACACAGACACAAATACACACACAAATACATACAAATACACACGAACGCACACACAAACACAGACACAAATACACACACAAATACATACAAATACACACACACACACAACACACACACAAACACAGACACAAATACACACAAATACACACACACACAAATACACACACAAATACACACAAAACACACACACAAACACACACACAAATACACACAAATACACACACAAATACACACACAAATACATACAAATACACACAAACACACACACAAATACACACACAAATACACACACAAATACACACAAAACACACACACACGAACACACACAAACACACACACAAACACACACACACAAACACACACAAATACACACAAATACACACAAACACACACACAAAAACACACAAATACACACAAAACACACACACAAACACACAAATACACACAAACACACACACAAAACACACAAAACACACATACAAAACACACAAACACACACACACGAACGCACACACACAACACACACAAAATACACACACACACAAACACAGACACAAATACACACAAATACACACACAAACACACACACAAATACACACAAACACACACAACAAATACACACAAATACAACACACAAATACACACAAACACACACAAAAACACACAAACACACACACACAAATACACACACAAACACACACACAAATACACACAAACACACACAAAAACACACAAACACACACACAAATACACACAAATACACACACAAATACACACACAAATACATACAAATACACACAAACACACACAAATACACACACAAATACACACACAAATACACAAAACACACACACACAAACACACACAAACACACACACAAACACACACAAACACACACACAAATACACACAAATACACACAAACACACACACAAACACACACAAATACACACAAACACACACACGAAAACACACAAATACACACAAACACACACACGAAAACACACAAAACACACACACACAAAACACACACAAACACACACACAAACACACACAAACACACACAAATACACACACACACAAACACACACAAATACACACACATACACACAAACACACACACACGAACGCACACAAACACACACACAAATACACACAAACACACACACGAAAACACACAAATACACACAAACACACACACGAAAACACACAAACACACATAAAAACACACAAACACACACACAAATACACACAAACACACACACACAAATACACACACACACAAACACAGACACAAATACACACAAATACACACAAACACACACACACGAACACACAAACACACACACAAATACACACAAACACACACACATACACACACATGAACACACACAAACACACACACAAATACACACAAACACACACAAACACACACACACACAAACACACACACACAAGCGTCTCACTACTACGACATTTTATTTTATTTATAAAATTTTTGTTGTAGCGGCACTTTACTATTTTTCCAAACATTCTGCTGGTCTTGGTCTGGTCTTGGTCTGGACTTGGTCTGGTCTTGGTCTGGTCTTGGTCTGGACTTGGTCTGGACTTGGTCTGGACTTGGTCTGGTCTTGGTCTGGTCTTGGTCTGGACTTGGTCTGGACTTGGTCTGGTCTTGGTCTGGTCTTGGTCTGGACTTGGTCTGGACTTGGTCTGGTCTTGGTCTGGACTTGGTCTGGACTTGGTCTGGTCTTGGTCTGGTCTTGGTCTGGACTTGGTCTGGTCTTGGTCTGGTCTTGGTCTGGTCTTGGTCTGGACCTGAGCTGGTCTTGGTCTGGTCTTGGTCTGGTCTTGGTCTGGTCTCGGTCTGGTCTTGGTCTGGTGTTGGTCTGGTCTCGGTCTGGTCTCGGTCTGGTCTTGGTCTGGTCTCGGTCTGGTCTTGGTCTGGACCTGAGCTGGTCTCGGTCTGGTCTCGGTCTGGTCTCGGTCTGGTCTCGGTCTGGACTCGGTCTGGACTCGGTCTGGACTCGGTCTGGTCTCGGTCTGGACTCGGTCTGGACTCGGTCTGGTCTCGGTCTGGTCTCGGTCTGGACTCTCGGTCTGGTCTCGGT